TCACTGTCCCTTCTAGAGCTTGCGGTTTCGTAGCAGATGTGGACAAAGACCTTGGCAGTGCCAATATAATCGGAAAGAACAGGCTACAGCTTGCAGCCCCTGGCTCGTCCCTCTGCAAAGCTGCTCAGAGGGGGGATGGGGGCCAGAGGTGGGACGCAGCGTGTACAGGCGTGCCCGCCCCAGGGCGTTCAGCGTACTGTGCTTCTCAGACATTGCATCTTGTACACGCTGAAGGTTCACGGCAGCCCTTCGTCAAGCAAATCTATTGGCGCCGTTGCCCAGTAGGCTCAGCGGATGGTTGGCATTTATTAGCAATAAAGTATTTTTAATTCAGGTATGTATCTTGTTTCTTTGGACATAATGCTATTGCTACTCTAGCAGAGTGTAAATAAAACTTTGTATCACTGGAAAACCAAACAGCGTGCGACTCACCTGGTTGAGGTGGCTGGGACTGAACGCTGTCTCCAAGGTACGCTGCTGATGACAGTTCCTTCTGGGTGGGCGTGTTTGGCAGAGACGTGTAGTCAGGGGATGTTTTTAAGATATGAGGAACTTAAAGGTGTTCACATGCAACTAGAAAGGAGCTAGCAGAATGGGAAGGAGTATAAATTAAGGTGAAGAGAGGAGGTCATCGATCGTGGGAGGTCCTCGGGAAGACACGAGAAAGTGGCATTCAGAGCACAGGGGGATGGACTGGTCTGTGACTGAGAGGAGGTTAGAGAAAGACCGGCATAGGATGGAATTCAGAAGCAATGCTGAGAGCCAAGCCCAGGGTTTTCATTGTCAATCAATCAATAGGCAAATGAGGAATTCACCATCTGGAAGCAGAGATCTCCCCATTCACTCGGGTTTTCGCTCTATTAGCACAGGTGACTGGGGCTCAGGAGTTTAAATAAGAGAAAGAGGAGGAAAATCCTCGGCTCTGTCTCACAGCTATTGTGTGACTTTTAAAAACCCCTTGACTGCACACACCTTCGAATGCACATAGATACATTCCCCAGCTTGTAGGAGCAAATCTAAAGTGAGGCTCATTCGAGATGGACCACACAGTGTCTTCAGAACATAATTCCCGGTATTGATTAAGAGCCTGTCTCCTCTTCGTGGGCTCTCGTTGTACCCAAGGGAATAAGAATAATTCCTCGCGCTTGAGTAGTGCTTGACCAGCGGCTGCTACACTGTATCTAGAATGCTTGGGGAGACTGTTCAGCATACAGGGTCCTAGAACCCATCCCGAGATGAACTTGTCACTGAATCTGGGATTGAGCCTGGGATCTGCATTTCCGTCAGGGTCCCTGGTGATGCCAGAGGGCCATTTGGAAACCCAACACTGTCTCACATAGCAAACCTCTCACATATCACCTGACTTAGTACACGTGCCAGGTGCTGGGACACCAAACTGGTGAAGGTCGAAATGAAAACAAGCACTGGGGGCTCAGTAAATAAGAGTGTCCAGTGCTCATGCATGCACTGAGTCCGACTACAGTACCCACTGCACACAAACCCCGTTCTCCACAAGGGGCAAACAGATTGGAACCAGGCTGAGGGCTTTTCTAAACAGTTCTTTATCCATTAAGAAAGAAGGAGTGGAATCAACCAATGATGCCTGTTCAGTTTGATAAGGAACACATCCAACATATCTCATGACGTGTGTGTGTGTGTGTGTGTGTGTGTGTGTGTGTGTGCATGTGTATGGTATTATGGGACCATAAAGGGCAGTCACAATTAGAATGGGTGAGAGAGGACAGACATATGGAAGCGGTTACACATTTTGAGTAGAAGTTGATGAGAAAGGCAGGGAAAAACATTCGGACGGAAGGAAGAGCCAGCAGCATGCGTGATCGTGACCCCCAGGACAACCCAAGCTCTGCCATCATTGTCATGTAGAAGTGGACCCAAGCAAAAGGCATGCACTCTCCTAAAATTTGAAGAGAACACAGGGGAACAATGAATACTGGGCTGGGACATCTTTGTATAGTCCACATCCAGGAAAATATTAAAGTGACAAGAGATGAAGGTTTTACCCAGAATATTTGAGTCTTTAATGGCCAGACGATAAGAAGACACTAAAGATATTTCATTGAGAACATCCAGTTACAGGGAGGAACTCAGAAAATGTGGAAAGTTCAGGGCATGCAGAGAGGTTACAGGGAGGCAGGGCGGCAGGACTCTTTGATCTTAGCTGCAAGGAGTCATCCATGCCAAATGTAGAAGGCAGTTCAGATATTTAAAGACTGGGGTAAAGGAGTCACATGGAAGCTCATGGAAAATTAGAGGAAAAATAGGTAGGAGATATGACGCAGTTCCTAAGGGGACAGATGCATCCATGGTTGTGTCTTTAAGTTCTGGGTGATGTAAATATTCTGCAGGAATTCCATCAATGGAAAGCCAACCTTAACAGTGAGAAGACACTGAGAGAGAAAGGCAGGAAGAGAGGATGTTGTGGATTCTGACTTCATTCTAAACTAAAGGAGAGGCTAACTGCTATACAAAGTAGCTACAACCTCTTTTAGTGGCTTAACCCAGTTGGATTGATTCCGTCCTCACATCAGTCTACTGCAGATGGCTTGAGAGGGGGAAACTGCTCTACAGTCATTCAGAAACCTGTCTCCTCATCTTTTCAAGTCTTGGAGTTCCACCATGGACCCCCTGCATATGGCCAGATAGGAAAAGAGAGTACATGACAATTGTCACGCGGAGTGTCCACTAACCATCATGTCAATGGTTTCAGGGGCCCACTCTGGCAGCGGCTTATCAAATGTCCACCCATATTCCATTGGACAGACTCAGTCACCTGTTGCTCACCTGAATCAAAAATGTTGAAAGAGAATTCAAACGACTTGGCTTCCAGAGTTTGCTTTTGATGAATATATTCTGCTTTTGGAGAGACTCCAAAAGCAGGCAGGATGGGGTGAGAAATAACAGACAACTAAAACAATGAGCGAACAATATTTTGTGATGAAAATAAAAGTGAGGTTTTTCCCATATCTCCACCCTTCGAGTTGATTGGCCTACTTCTTACTTCATTATCTTGGTAACTGCCAAAAGGGTACAAAGAGTAGATGCATTTTCTCTTATTTACTTTTCGCTCAGCTTTCCAGTGCCTCGGGGTCAAGGTGTTCTCTGCCTTGTTCTTCAGAAGGGGCGAGGGGTCTCAGGGTATTCATTCTCCTTGGGCTTGCTCCGGCGGTTAGTGTTCTGTCCTGGCAGGGAGGGAGGGGAGGGGAGGGGAGGGGAGGGAGATTCAAAAACCACTGCGTGTTGATATTTTCAATGTGGGGGGTTGTGTTTTGAAGCCCTGGAAATATTTCGCTAGGATCCTGTGGAATGGTGAGGAACCTGTTGACTCTGTCCCCTGGAGCAGGATGGGATGGGGCAGGTAGAACAGAACACAGCTTTCCCAGCAAATACCTTGCAAACGTCTGTGCACCAGATTTGATCTTGAGATGGACAGAGGAGTGTTTTTTAAAGGCTCTTCGACAGTCGTATCCTGAGCCGCTTTCACAGAGTTCTTCCCAGACACCAGCAATGGACTCTTCAGACCCTCCCTCCCGAGATCCCTGATGTCCAGGCCATAAGCAGATCAGCGATTCACCTCCTGATCATTGAAACCATTTGTTCAATTCTCATGACTTCAGGGCCAAAAGAAGGTGTTCATTATTTATAGAGAGTATATATTTTAAAACAGATCATCACAACCTATGGTCAGTTCCAAAGATGGCAACTTATATTCTCCAAAGTGAACCCCTTCCAGAGGCGTGAAGACTCAATCACCTACTAACCCTCTGAGCATAGCCTGGCCACGTGTTCGTGGTGATCCACGCTGTTTTCGTTTTTATTTTTGCTGGAGGAGTCCGTGGTCCCGGGCAGTGCAAGAGGCCCAGGGAGCAAAGTTGTGTAGAGCACAAACCCATCCACAAGGAGCTCACTTGGTAAAGAGAGAGAGTCAACACAGGTTTGTAACAAAACAGAATAAGAGATCTACAATGTGTACCAGCTGCCAAAGGACACACAGAGGAAGCCCCCAGTTCCCTCCGGGGAAGAGAGGGGCACTCACAGCAGAGTTGCTGGAGCCATCTTGACAAGGCAAACAGATGGCTAAGAACGCTTTAAGGCTCAACGATCAATTTTAAACTATCAATTTCACATGTATGAAAGTTACCTTTCAGCATCTGGTATCCAGAGCACATTCATTCATGAACGTTCCATCCAGAAGAGCAATCATTAATTACTGCTGGACACAGTTCTCCCACAGAAGCAAGCAAAACTCCTCCAGCAAAGATAGTGCTGGGACTTGAAAAACACGATGATGTTTTTGTGATGCACCCCTCTCATAGACAGACATTTGGAAGCTAAAATCCTAGGCCCAGTCAGGAAAAGGGCTGGCCAAGGCTCAGACTTTTCAGTCGCGATTGACACACGGAGCTCCCAGCTCCAAAGGCTGGACAGAGATGAGCCTAATGTCATAGGTGCAATTTCAAAGGCGAATGTGCCTGGTAGCAAAAGGTCTGGGGAAGGAGGACCAGCCCAGGGGCCTTCGGGACCCAGGCTCCGGTGCCACAGCACAGCAGGGCCCCAGGTGCCCGCCTCTGACCATGTCCCTCCCTGCCACTGGCCGCCCTCAGTGCCTGGTGTGCACTGGGGTTCTTCCCCATTCCCAGACTCAGCTTCATGGCTGGAGTCCCTACTCCCTGAACACAGTTACAATCGGCTTGTTGGAGCCGGGGGCCGCGGGTGTCTTTGTGCAGCGGCACAATCAGAAGTGCGGCACCCCTCGCGAGCTCCCCACAGCACCCACACCTCTGCTCCCAGAACTGCCAGCTTCCAGTGCACAGGGACGGCCAGGCAGGGGCGGAACGCACGCTGGAGACCCGCCCCTACTCCCCTCCCCCTCCGGCGGAGATTGATGGAGCTTGGGCACCGGCCCCAACCAATGAGCGCGTCCCAGGGCGGACCCTGGAACCAGCAGCTCCAGCTACTTAAGTCTTTGCGTCCGCGGTGGGAAACCAGATCCAGTCGGGACCTAGCAGGTGGACCTGGCGCCCCAGCCAGCGCGGACCGCAGGCGCCACGCCGGCCGCTGCACCTCACCGTTCCGCGCGGGGCAGAGCAGACCGCAGCCCCCTCGCCGCCAGGGACTCACTTCCACCACTGCCTCCGCAGGACCCATGGGGACCAGAAGACTTTAAAGGAGTTTGGGGTTTCTGGAGCAGGGAAATCACGGGTACGGAAAGGCGGCTGGCTTTGCCGTGGAGACGTTTATTCTTCCATTGTCTGGACTCTGCCCGGTAGGAGGGAGAGGGATTTGGGGGTTGAAAGTGGAGCTTCCCACACAATCCACACGCACGCCCGCACCCGCACGCATACACACTGGCTCCCTTCCTTCCCTTGCCTCTTTGTTAGGTTATTTTAGACAGAGCAGCCTCGCCCCGGCACTGCCTACTGACTGCCGGGAGAAGGCAGAGAAGGAAGGGGCAGAGTGCACCTGCCTGTGTGGCCAGGTGTGCCCAGGGCCATGGGTGTAGGTGCATAGGCGTGCTTGCGTGCAGTGTGGGCTGGAGCTGTGTACGAATGTGGGGATCTGAGTGTGCCCTCGCGAAGGTTTGCCATTGTGTGCATATGTGACATTATCACACTGATGTACCAGCCTGTGTCTAGACTCCAAGTGTGCAAAATTTCGCTGGTGTCAAGTGAGTGGCTGGGAATGTGTCCCATTGTCATTGTGCGAAGTGCTGTCAGGGGAGGAGTGCGACCTCGTGCAAAACAGAGGTGGGCTGGAGAGGGTGGGGACAGAAATGTGAGGGAAGCTTGCTGGGGCTCTAGGGCCTTAGGCACCCTTTCTCCTTCCCAACAGACCCCTCTGCCCTTTTCCGGGGGTCAGTCTCCCACCTTGTCACAACCCGGGCTGTCAATCCCACTCGAACCCCTCACCCCTCCAGCCCGTCTGCCATTTCTCTTGTGGGAGTTGGACCGGGTTCCCGGAAGGGGTCCAAGGCTCTGTGGTGGCGTCCGCTCTGGCTCCTCGGACTGGTGGCTTCCGCGCCCGTCCTGCCCCCGGGGAGGCACGGGAGACTCGCTGGCTGGGAGACTCCAGGAAGGTCTCTGGAGTGGGCAGGCGCGTCCCAGGGGCAGGAGTCCTGGAGAGGAGCAGCCCGACTCTCATCCTGTCTCTGCCTCTCCTCATTCCGCAGATCCCTGCTCCTGGCCCCTTTCTCGCGCGTCATTGATGGGCAACCAACTGGACCGCATCACCCACCTCAACTACAGCGAGTTGCCCACAGGGGACCCGTCTGGGATTGAGAAGGACGAGCTACGGGTCGGAGTCGCCTACTTCTTCTCGGATGAGGAGGAGGACCTGGACGAACGTGGCCAGCCGGACAAGTTTGGAGTGAAGGCCTCCCCAGGCTGCACCCCCTGCCCAGAGAGCCCCAGCCGCCACCACCACCACCTGCTGCACCAGCTGGTCCTTAACGAAACTCAGTTCTCAGCCTTTCGGGGCCAGGAATGCATCTTTTCCAAAGTGAGCGGAGGCCCCCAGGGCGCCGACCTGAGCGTCTATGCGGTCACCGCGCTGCCGGCGCTGTGCGAGCCCGGAGACCTGCTGGAGCTGCTGTGGCTGCAGCCGGCGCCCGAGCCCCCGGCGCCCGCCCCTCACTGGGCCGTCTACGTGGGCGGCGGGCAGATCATCCACCTGCACCAAGGCGAGATCCGCCAGGACAGCCTGTACGAGGCGGGCGCGGCCAACGTGGGCCGGGTGGTGAATAGCTGGTACCGCTACCGCCCGCTGGTGGCGGAGCTGGTGGTGCAGAACGCCTGCGGCCACCTGGGCCTCAAGCGCGAGGAGATCTGCTGGACGGACTCGGAGAGCTTCGCCGCCTGGTGCCGCTTCGGCAAGCGGGAGTTCAAGGCGGGAGGGGAGGTGCCGGCCGGGACGCAGCCCCCGCAGCAGCAGTACTATCTCAAGGTGCACCTGGGTGACAATAAGGTTCACACGGCCAGGTTTCACAGCCTGGAAGACCTCATCCGTGAGAAGCGCCGCATCGACGCCAGTGGTCGCCTGAGGGTGCTCCAGGAGCTGGCAGACCTGGTGCATGACAAGGAGTGACCTGGGGGCACGCCTGCCTCCCGTCTCCCGCGCCCCACTTCCTTCCTAGCACCAGGGCTCCCCGGCCAAGGATTCACCGCCCCGGTCCCCTGCGCACCCGCCCCCACCGGGGGGCGTGCCCAAGCTGCACCCGGCACCCCTCCAGCAAGTGGCAGGACTCTCAGGAACTGGCTTCGGGACTGGGACCGAAAGGGCCGCTGTGTGACGCTGGCTGAGACCCCCCAGTGGCTGCAATCGTGTTGGGAACCCCAGCGTGCGCTTTCCCCTTGGGTTAGAAGGGGCCAAAGGAGAATGGTCTGAGGGGAGCGGAGGCTCGGCTCCCGCGAGTTACTGCTCACAGACGATCACCCCACCTACTAGGAAGGCACCATCACCACCCCAAACACGCACACAAAGACCGATCGGGAGTGAGGAGTGATCTTTTCAGGGCGCAGTTCAGCTCCTGTCTGGATGTGTCCCCACACTGCAGGATTTCCAAGAAATCGAGCCTGTCCCCTATGCACTTGCGAATCATTCCACGAGAGAGCACCTCGGGACTTCGCGTTCTCCGAGGCTGCCCGGGGATGACCCAGCCCTCCAGCCCCAGGTCTGACATTGTATCCCAGGCTCCGGCTAAGCTAGTGTTTGCTCCCTGCTCCTTCCACTGCGGGAAGCTTAGGCACCACCTTCCCGCACTTGCCCGACAGGCTCCCTCCCAGGCAGAAGGGCCGCCTTCCTGTCCCGGAGCTGTCCGGGAGGATATGGCGCAGCAGCTAATTTGGTGAGGAGCACGCCCTGCCCCAGGCAAGGAGAAGGTGGTCCTGGTGTTTGGGAACTTGAATTTGTGCAGAAGGGCACTTGTTCTTAACCCTAGATTGCTCCCTCCTTGGGCTGCATTTCAAAAAGAATCCTATTTTGAAAGGGGTTGGAGGAGAGGGAGGGAGAAGACATGGCAACATTCCAGAAACCAGCACTATTGCAACACCCTAGCCAGTATATTTCGTTTGGCTTTTCCTAACATAGAAATCTTAGAAGGTGGGGAAATGGGAATAAAGTTTGAAAAGTGAGGGGGCAGTTCTCCAACTATGTCAACAACGCTTATCCTGTTGATGTTTTATTGACCATTTTAGCAACATGCTAATAAAATTTCAAATTGAAATTTTTATTTTCATGGCTTTAATCCATGATAGTTTAAATACTGGGGGCCGTGGAGAGTGGACTTAGCTACGAGCTTAGCTAGCATTGCCTTTTCACTCTCTTTTTCTCAAATCCTTTGAGAATTCTGGTTTTGAATATGGTGGTTCTTTCTTTTTCTTCCGGCTTTAAGCGGCAGCCCTAGCCATGGTGGAGTTGTTCATTCATGTGCCTGTCGTGTTGAATCTCTCAGTGGAGGGGTTTACTGCTTTGGTGGAAGTTGCTAGCAGGTTCCATGGTATTTCTTTCAAACCATTACCATTCCACATTTCCATTTCTATTTTGCTTCCTCTCTCCCTGATCTCCTTAAAAAGAATCAATCAGTCTAGAGTTGTTGGCTTTCCCATCCTTCTCTGTGGCCAGTCCCACAATTTGTTCCTGAATACCAGAAAGGAGCTGTAGGATCAGGACAAACGAGTGTTTTTCCAAAAATTAAGGCTGTTTGGAACCCCCTCCCTTGGGCAAAGATTTACCAACTTCTCTCCCTGTGCTGCAGCCCAGCCCGATGGACTGTGACTTCATTCCGTGTGTGTCAGACACCCACAGCGTCCACATCCTTTTCCAGGGAACTTGTCAAATAATGGTGTTAGCTAATCATTGCAAGCAATTGCCTATTGACAGCTGTGATTTAGTTGGACAGCAGATATTGTGGCCAAAGCCAGTTCCTTGGCATTTCACAAGTAATGCAATAAAAACTAGTCGAGGTGAGCTGAGACTGAAAATGCCTTTTTCATGGTCAGTTGTTCATTTCTGTTTTGTGTTTCAGTTTTCATCCTGGGTTCGTTCCCTGATCTTGAATCAAAAGGTCAGGCCAATGGAATATGAACTAGAGTATTTTTCTTAAGCCTATTGAGTGATTTATTTTTTAAAAAAATGTTTAAATGCATATGCTTTTCTTTCGGCACATACAATGGCAAAACTTTTGTAATGGCGAACTCACCTTTGCATGTATGGAGCACTGAAAGTCATAGATTCCCCTAACTTATTCCTCTTTCAAATAACAGATGGCAGATCACCAGCTGCGATCCTCGATTGTATCTGCAAACTCCACATTCTTGACTGTGTCCTCCTACTGTATCTTGGTTCTCTACTGTATTAAACACCATCCTAAGCAATTGCTCCAACAGGACTCCTTGACATTTTGTCCTCCACCTGTCATTGAGAGGATGGGACTTCAGCAAAAGCAATGAATCTGCCTCTGTCACACCTAGCACTAAGATTTACTTCCTCTGCTGACACATAATCTGATATGTTTCTTACAAAGAGGGTCACTATAGCAGAGGGATGGCGTATCAGCTTTATACTGTCCAAAACCAGACTGGCAATAAAAATGGTTTTGGCAGCCAAAATAGCATTCCTTACTATGTTGGTCTGTTAAGAATTGGGTTGATGAAGATACTCCTGTAAATTCACAACAGTAAAACATTGTTGCAAAGGGAATTTGAAAGGTTTGTAGGGTTTCTTAGATCCCTGTGGAAAGAATCCTTGCTTAGCTGTTGGCCCATGCTAATAATAGCCAGTGGCAGAATAATTCTAATCACAGTGCACTGTGGAGAAGATATTACCAAAATATCATCTAGTAACTCTATCCTGAAAAACATGTAAATGTTTAGGGTGTGGCTCATGATGTGAGTGAAACCAAGAAGGTAGACATTGCTTTTGAGGGTGGTATGGGCACACTTGAATTTTGTAGACATTCCCTTTGAGGGTGGGATGGTCACACTTGATTTTTACTATGAGAGAATAGATTTTATCAGGGTTACAGAAATTAAGCCTAAAGCATCCTAATATTGATTAGAAGTCAGATACTCAGTTTTGGTTTTAGTGATTCTCAAGAGAACGGGTCTTCCCAGTAACTCTGCTGGGAGTGTGGCTGAGCTGGAAGTGGGCGCTGCCCCTCCCCAGTAGAGCTGAAACTGTCCTTGTAACTCCACCCTTTCAGCTCTCAGAGCGTGACTCTGAGAAGCAACCTATTAAAAACTTTAAAAAGGAGTATTTTTCTCTAAGGAGTGCTTGGCTACACATTTTGTTATTTAACAAAATGCTGGGGGTGGGAAGGAGGGCGGCGGCTTACTTTAAATAAACCAGCCCTGGAGTGCTGTCTTCCCGAGTGTGCCTTTCACTTACAACAAACAAACAAAAAAGTCCTGTAGAAGTTGCATTTATTTCTCAGAACACTTCAAAGTATAGCAATGATCCAAATATATATAAAGTTCCTCTATATTTAAAATTTTAAATAGCTGTCATGACTGTTTTATTAACAGGAAGAGTGATATATGGTCGCTCATGGCTAGAAAACCCTGCAGGATCAGTGTCAAACCTAGGAGCCATCCTGCGCTCAGTGATGGCGGCTGATTTTACCAGAGTTTTATTTTTTATTTATATTTATCTATTTTATTTATTTTTTAAATGGAACTGCCTTTTTTAAATAAAGTTTTTATTGATTTTTTGAGAAAGGGAGAGAAAAACATCTATGTGAGAAACATTGATCAGCTGCCTCCTGCACGCCCCCTACTGGGGATCTAGCCCAAAACCCAGGCAGGTGCCCTGATGGGGAATTGAACTGGGACCTCTCAGTCTGTGGGATGATGCTCAATCCACTGAGCCACACCGGCTGGGTGATTTTACCGGACTTTTAAAATTTTGATGTTTATCATCCTTTGTGTCATGCTTCCAAAATGAACACTTTTGTTTGCATAATGATTTTTTTCCCCCAGAAAAGCAGGCTATTGGTATTTACAAAATAATGAATTACCTGAATCGTCAGTGTATCCTCATAGTCTTCAAACATGACCTTATCGACTGTGTTTTTCGTGTGTTCTCAATGTTCCCTAAGACTTCAGTGTCCCGGTCATATGAAAGTGGAGGGTTCGAATTTCACTGCAACTGATACGAACTGCACTAACATAACAGCAACAGAACTTCCTTTTATCCACAGGGATACCTTCAAAGCGTGCTGCTTTCTCATCTTTACACAAATGCAGAAAATCTGGTTGGCTTTGCCTTTCATAAATGATTTGCCCCATGCAGGAAGGGACTGCAGGTGACAAGACAGGCCTTCTGGTCTCTTGAAACATTCAGAACTGTGTTTAGTAAATGGCTAAAACCCAGCTCAAGTTTTGTTGACAATTATTAACTACCAGCAGTATATATATAGATATATAGAGAGAGATATATATATACATACTCATACATACTGCCAATATCTATATATGTATATACACACACATATATATAATTTACATATGTATATATGTGTACATGTGTATGTATACATAATTTCTACCGATAGCTCATAATTTTGATTTTATTCAGATATATCTAGAGAGAGATATAGATATGTATGTGCATATGTATAGACTATTTTAAAACAAAATAGAGAACGCCTTGAGATGTCCAAAAACAGGAGGGAATGGTTTCAGGAATCAAAAGAGCTACAGAGTTACTGGGGCCGCAAGGCATCTCTGCTGAGACCTCGCAGAACCAAAAGCAGAAAATGTGGGTCTTGCAGAGAGTTTTAGTCTCACATTTAAACAAATCCGCCCCTTGTTTCTCTAAGCAAAAAGCCTCCAGATTCAAAGAGAAAAGAAAAAGATCAGGAAGTAATTGGGAAATAAGAGGCAAGATGCAGGGTGGAGGTTAGGAGATGACAGAATGAGCTAATAAGCTCCTTCCAACAGGGATACTCGTTTTCCGCTCTACCTGAAGCCAGCAAAGCTCTTATTTCCCCACCACTTAGTAATGTAGAGCATCGCCCTGATCTCGTACAACTATGCCGTATGCCACCTCAGGGGAGCTTGCAATATAAAACATCCGAGCACTTGAAAGTGTTGGAGGAAAGGAAAAATAGCCTGCCTGCCCTCATCGCCGAAGGTGGCTTTGGGGATGGTTCATTCTCTGGCAGCCCCCAGGTGAAGGATTCCCCACAATGTGGGCTTTAATCCATCGCTGGGACATAGTAGGTGCTCAATAAATACCATGCTGTGGAATCTCTCTAACACAAGTGGTTATCAGTGATACCTGATCACCAGAAAAAACAAAAATTCCCACAGCTTGGCTTGTCTGTAAAGAGGAAGCTAAATTTCTCTAACTGAAATAGCTAGGGTTCCCCCACCCCCCCAGGGTTCCCCCACCCCCCCACCCCCCCACCCCCCCACCCCCCCGCTGATGGCTCACGGACACAGACTTTACGAGGCTGAAGACTAATTTCAGTTAAAGTGTATTGTGAATATTCTGCTTGCTTCTAGGGAAAAAAATACCATCAAAGAACCCAGAGCGAAAAACACTCTCTGTCATTTGGTTGGGAAGGGTAAAGAAAACTAGCAATTCTGAGTATAAGTTCTCAAGGCTCCCTCTCTCGTTCACCTCGAGGAGAGCTTTTCCTTGCGCGAAACCACAGAAGTATTCCTTCAGAAAGAAGCTTAGTGAACCTCCTGTGGAACGTTTTCTTCGGTTATGTCAGGGAAAACCTACTGGAATATGAGCTTAACTCTCCGGGAAAATGATATTTGATGGAGTCTGGTCATGGATGTATTTCTAAATAAAATCCATTCATTTATACATTAAAATATCCCAATAATTGCTATTAGGCCCATTGGCTGTTATAATCCAATTATTTTTTGATGTGAACACGAACCCTGAACTTAATTTGGTCCGATAAGGAGAGGTTTGTAAAAAATTAGGTGTGAATAGGAGCAACATCCTAAATTTTAAGCACAAAATAAATGTTTCACAAGCTAACGTGAGCTACAGCCAATGTCCAAAAAAAAAAACAGAAAAAGGTCAAAGCTTATATACCCTAAGGACGTCCTTGCCGTCAATCTGCGACATAGACTTTAATGCCCTACTCATGCCGGGAAACGCAAGGGCTTCTTTATTTTAAGGATACTGGTATTTGCTTGAACAGATAAGTTATTATTCTAAATTCAATTGTTTTCCCTCCAGCAGTCCTACAACATGCCAGCACTTCGTTCCCTGCCAAGTGCATTGTTTTCCGATTTCACGTTCTCCCGAGGAATGAGCAGATCAGGGGGAAATTAGACCAACAATGATTTTGTAAAACATCTCCCAGCTCCCACTAGCATGAGCTCCTGTTCCTCCTGGTCCTGCCTTCTGCTCCTCGGGGCCAGTGTTTGCTGGGGGTCTGAGCCAGAGAGAGGCAAGACCCAAGGGCAGGGTTGCCCGATTTAGCAAATGAAAGCACAGGGCACTCAATTACGCTTGAATTGCAGATAAACAGGGAATAATCATTTCCATACAAATATATCCCATGCAGTACTTGAAGCGTACTTATACTAAAAATAATCGGTTTCTCTGAAACTCAAATGAAACTACATGCCCAGGAGATTGCCTGCGACCCTACTCAGGTACTCAGGGAGGACCTTACTCTCTCTCTGAGGCCAGAGACCTCTGATTTTGTTGAGCTGACAAATTAAGGACACCCCTCCTAGCCACAGCATGGAGGTCTTATCAGATCGCTCATGTGTCCTCCAGGGTTAAAGCCAGAGTCAGACTCAAGGATGAGCATATGGTCCAGAAGAAGTCTCAGAAGACCTCACAGGCTCCCTGGTCACTGAGAGAGTGAGTTGTGTGTATGTGTGGGTCTATTCTTATGCTCCCTTGATTATATTTTATAGGACATGCCATCCTTTATCCGAGGGTATGATGAATACTTTCCTAGGTACAATCAGAATACTCTATGCCACTGTTTTTAATCGCTCCTGTTACTTCTCCCTCTCCGGGTCCTCACGTCACACCTGCCTATTCCACAGCTTCCTCTGTCCCGCTGGATGCTCCGTCCAGACAGGTGCAGCCATAATGACCTTGCTGGAACAGACTATCACTCACAAGATAAAGGCCAAGCTCCTCATAAGGGCTTTCCTGTGCTCATGGCCTGACCCCTGCTTATGACCAATGGCATTCTCTCAGCTGGTACTCAGACCACACAGAGCATTCCGTAGAACGTGCAGTTTCCATTCATGCTTCCGTGACTCTCTGTCTCCTTTATTCGAATGTCATTCTTGATTCCTGGGTGGAAAACCCTTCTCTAGCCATCCTTCGTATCCTTGCTCCATGATACCCCAGCACGGTTTTAATAGTTCTCTTCTGAGTACTCCCATCGTATGTGTTGACTCCATCTCCAGACTCTCTCTTCGATACTAGAAATAGTAGTTGCATCTGTCTCTCCCTGGACTGAGTTCTGTTGCTCATGTTTGCGGCTGCGAAGTCTAGCACTCACAATAGGTGCTGAATTAGAGTCTATCGAATGAAGGGAAGAAGACATGGAGAAAGAGAAGAGTTGACTCCTCTATAGGTATAGGCATGCTGCCACGACCTCTCTCTCCCAAACGACAGTAGGAACGGGCTGCAAGTGTCTATCAGTGTACCCGTGATTCTCCCTAAGACACATAGAGTAGAAAATTAGTTTATATTTAGAACATAAGCTGGAATTATGAGGACTCTGTATTGCATTGTGTTACATTAAATATGATGGAAGATTAGCTATATGTAGTATTAAAGATTCCTCTGTCCTGGTTATTCCTGTAGA